ACAAGAAATAATACAATAAAATTCTACTTCTTAAAGACCCTGATAGCATATATTAAACCAACACTAAGAAAGCAGAATTTTTAACATTGCATCTGGAATCTCATTTTCACGAACAAAATTCACGACACAACAACAGAATGCATATGCTCTTTCACTTCAATTTACACCACACTCTCACAAACAACATTGTTTCAGTTCGAACGTCAGAAATTTTTGGCTTCATTAAAAAGCTCAAACCCAAAGAAACACTTTGATATCTTATGTTGACTGTGAAGAGGATAAAAATATTTCTATTGAAATTTATTTTCAAGCTGACAAATATTTTCAACACAATACTGAAATGGCAACATTTCCTTGCAGCGTGGAAAACTCTTACATTCATACCTATCTAGAAGCCAAATAAATCAGCTACTGAGCCAGGATCTTACTGTCCGATCAATATACTAACCTGCTTAAGCAAATTGATATATGCCGTCATCTCGACAAGAATAAAAGACTGCTTGGACAACAATAGCATCCTAATCCCCCATCAGTTTTGACTGTGTCGGAATTTATCCACTTTACACCAGCTTTAAAGAGTAGTGGAACATATATCAGAGGGTATGCAAAGCAAGAAATTTACTGGAGGATTCTTCATTGACATAGCCAGAATTTTTGATTGTGTTTAGATGGACACCTAGGCTTCCCAGATTATATTACACACATAGTTAAGTTCCAACTAAAAAGTAGACACTTTGTCATTCATATTTCAAACCCAAAGACTACCTGCCATGCAATCTTAACAGGCATACGATAGGGATATTAGGATCTACATTATTTAACATTTATAACCTTTGGGTGAACAACATTCCTCGCACACTCAACACTACACTGGCTATGTATGCTGATGATACAGTGATCCTTGCTCAAAATCCATTTCTTAGTCCAGTCATTCAACATCTTCAAAATCAAATACTACATACATTGTAGACCTAACTAAGAAAACAGGAGATCCAGGTTGATGTGGATAAGAGTATTGCTATCTTATTCCCACCAAAGAAGACTTTAGATAAGAATTTGCAATTTACGGGAAAACTCTCAGCTAAGCAAGTCACTTATCTTGGGATGATCCTCCCAAATTCACTCACATGGTCCACACATATACATCTTATTATCCAGAAGTTTCAAGAGCGTAAAACCAGACTCTGTCTCCTAATTGCTCAATGCAGAATTCTATCTATTAATGACAAGTTACTCATTCGTAAATCTATTTTGCGTTCCATGCTTTGCTATGACTGTCTAGTCTGGACATACTCATGTAAAAATACAGTGGAACCTCAAGATACAAGCACCTCTACATAGGAGATACGAGGAAAGTATGAGCGAAAACTTTGTCTCTAAATATGAGCACTGACTCGAATAACAAGTAATGAGCCAGGCTGTTTGTATGAGTGGTGCCATTTCCCGATCCGACTTGACTCGGGGAATCCCCTCGTCAGATCACTCTATTCTTTGATCTACCTGTTTGTGTGCTTGTGAGACAATTTTTTATTATGTTTAACATAAAAATAATTATTTCACGATGCCTTCCAAGAAGATTGTTGCCTCAGATAGTGCTGCAAAGAAAAATAAAGAAGTCATGACTATTGGAATTAAGAAAGAAATCATATATAAACAAGAGTGATGTAAGAGTGACGGAATTGGCGAAGACTTTTGACATCGATGATTTACAGTATTCTGAAGAAGTAGGAAGAAATTAAGTAACTTGACTTAGTCAAAGGAGTTACCATTACTTCCAAGCGCCATCCAAAACTCCTAGATGTTGAGAAGCTGTTGTTGGTGTGGATTAACAAGAAGCAGTTAAAAGATTGCCGGGAGCTATCACAAAGATAAATTATGGTTATATTATCTATCAGTGTTATTTATTAGAAAAATTGATTTTTATGCTGATATTTTTGGCAGTGCAGAATGGATTAACTGGATTTCCATTATTTTGATTAGGGAAGTTTGTTTCTAGATATGAGAAATTCGCTATACGAGCTCAGTGCTGGAAGAAATTAAACTCGTATCTCAAGGCTCCATTGTAATAGAAAGCAACTGCAAAACTGTGCAGAATTGCATTTTGTGGCATATTACGAATTTACCACAGAAAAAACACCATTCATGAAGAATTAAAAATTGTTCGGCATAGAACTTTTTGCTATGCCGAACATCTAGTGAGAAATGTTCACATAAAATTGAGATCTCAACAATTCTGAAATAAGGATTTATAATTATGATTTAAAGACATGTTAAACAAAAAGAGGCCTATGACCCTTTATAAATCTCAGTATTGTTATGGAAACCTAAGGTATAATTTATTGTGCACTACATTTTGTTAAAGCATTGCGTATGTATTTTGACTTCTTTTGGTTATTTTTTGTATTTTATGTATCTTTTGCATATAACTTGAAATTGTTATTCACTACTGGCACCTAATATTTCGCACTTGCTCATTTATGGCAAATAAATGACACATTTATGATTCACCAGCTCAAGAGTGAGCTTTCTGTATTTTCAATTTTTTTTTTTTTTTTTTTCCTGGGAAGGATTTCTTCTAATTTTCAGGGGAAGGGGAAGCAGTTATTATTTTCTAATAATTTAAATATTCCTTAAGTTATGTCCTGAAACTATTTAGAAACTTTTAAATTTACTTGATAAGGGGTGATAAGGGATACGCAATGTGCCCAGGTACCCAGGTGTTTAACACCATTTTTCCCAAAAGGAGGCTTATCCCCGGCCGGCAATAGACATTTTGTGGCCCGGTGTGGTCTTTGCATGTACAAAATTCTGTTGCGATCTAAATTTTGTGTTCCAGAGCCTTTCCTAAATTTTAAAGATTTTGCCATTCCTTAATTTTGTTGCTTAGTGCTTCTTTAAATTCCAAAATTTTCATTCCCCAAGTTCTGCACTAGCTCTAGCATTTGTCCTGCCTGGGCTTAACTGAGTAACAAATCACTAGTGCTGTTTCAGTTATTCTCAACTGAAACAACACTAAGCAACAAAATTACAGGCTAAAAGATTACATTTAGTGCTGTTTCAGTTGAGAATAACTGAAACAGCACTAAATGTAATCTTTTAGCCTGTGAGTATAATTTGCAAAATTTACTTTTTCATATGGAAAGAAATTTCTGTTCTCTTCTCATCAACACACTCAACACTCTGCAGTAGAGTTAGCTGATCTCTCCAAGCATAATGTCAACACAAAAGGTTACAATACTCTTCACTAATAATGAAAATTAAAAAATCTGATGTGCACACCACATGACTTCCTTGTACGGAATATTAACTTATACGCATTTTTCTTGCAATTTGTATAAACTTATTGGATTGAATTAAATCTACTTCGCCAACAGCGCATGAACCACAATAGAATAAATGCATTCTTTAAAATTCACTCTATTTGTTTACCATAGTGACACTCTGGCGCTAGGTTCACTTAACAGTATTATATTTCATTCATATTATAACTCATAATGCACAAAATTTGTAACATTTAAAGAATAGAATTATCTAATCGTTGCCACATGTTCTATTCAAATACTACTATAAAGCTAGAATGATGCATAAAAGAAATTAAGCAAACAAAACAAAAAAGAAACAGTTTTTCACAGACTATTAAGCATTTCTTATTCAATTAATTCAGTTCTCATTTCGCGACACGGCAAAAATACATAAAAACTCAAAATATCTGTATTATAAATTACGAAGTAAATCTTAAACACTTATTTCCTTGAAAAAATTCCAGAAAGTATTAAGCATGATTTAATTCACAATAATAAATGAAGGTGTTATCTTTGTTGTTGCAAAGCTACGTTTCTCTAGATTGGCAACAAATCCATTACTCTGCTGTTTCAAATGTAAACAAGCAATGGCCGCCATCAAAAAAATTATTAGGCTTAGCGGTACTTAAACAACTTTAAAATTGTTGATAATTCTAAAAATATTGCATACAGATTTACAGATTTACTAAAGGCATAGAAACCTTAACCAGAAGATAAGAACAACATAATTCAATCATTTTTAAAGCAAAAAATGTACAATTTACAAACATATAAGAGTAAAGAAACTCTGATCACTGAGCCGGGTAACAGAGTGGATATATATATATATTTATATACGTTTGGCACGGCTGATTGCAACCAAAATAGAAGGTGCACATCTACATGTTATAGTAGTCCTATATACAAAATTTCAACGTTCTGAGGCTACTCGTTTTTGAGTTAGGCGAGATACGTACGTACGTACGTATATACATTCGTACAGACGCCACGAAAAATTCTCTTCAGAATTCATTTTAATGCAGTTTTATATATATATATATATATTTCTTTTTTTGAGGAAAGAGTCTTTTATTCTGTCCTTACGTACAGATATCACGCAAAAACATTGTTGAATTGCATTCGAAAGCGGTCAAAATGGGTATTTTCATTGAAATATGCTGCCTGAAACTTTTTGCGATTACAATACTTCCTTTTTACTTCGTACAAGGAAGTAAAGAGAGGAAATAAAAAAACAACTGTTTAGACACGACAGCATGAATAAATTTTCAAGCTGTAGGGTGTCGACAGTCATACGGTAATGAAAGTTAACAATAATAAATAATGATTCACCAGGTTGGCATCAGTGCCAAATTTAAACTCCCCATGTTTTAAAATAACAAAATATAAACAAAATCAATTATGCAAGCATAAAGCATTTAAAATGTCTAAGGGGGGGGAGAGGTTGTTAGTGATCTAGAGGTCAAGATTTTAGGTCATTCCAGATATTGGATATCCAGATTTCAAATTTAATCTTAAAAACTTTTTCAGGGCAAATTCTTCTTTGATATTACATAAGTTAATAAACTATTTGAATACTTATATATATAAAGGCTGACTCTCTAAGTAAAATAAATTGAAGTTAAGTTTAAGAATCTCGCTGCTTTTCCTGAATTTTGGTATTACATTTTTATTTTTACCAACAAACTTCTTGTCACTTACCTATTTTTTGCAAGGTAGAATTCTTAATAATAACATCAGCAACAGACTGAGCACAAACATGATTCAACTGGTTATTCTTCAAATCTATAGTCTGGATAGATACAAATTAACAAATATTAAGCTATTAAAAAAAGAAAAACTGTACGCCTGATTTTAAATAAAGATAGCTGATAGTATAAAAATGTATCAAAGGTAAGGTAAAGTCACTTCCCTAGATATAACTTAAACTTTATAATTTTTAAGAGAGCTAAAATCGGTTTTAAATCAAGTTTCCATTCAGTATTTTTTTTATTATAAGTAATTTTCTCAGTGCAGATAAAAAATTCCCTGCTCTTAGTACCAATTTAATAATAATTATTTACAAATACATACCATAATAAAATTTTTAAAAACAAAGTACACAAAATATTAAAAATTGAAAAAAATAAGATTACTCACAAAGAATTTTTATTTAAACTATTAATTATAAGAACTTAAGAAGGAACTATAAAATTTATGAGAAAACTTTTATACTGTTATATAGAACTTTAAGTACAATTTAATGATTTAAATTATAATGACTATAATGATTAAACATATGACACTTGAAAACATGTTCCATGCTATATATGACATCTGTAACAAAGATTAGTCCACTAATGATTTAAACCAATTTAAATTTTTAGACATTTCTAACATTTAAATGTATTAAACTCTTCTTCAACTTAAAATAAATAAAATTTAATACAGAGGCATATACTGTTTCCAATGCAAAAGAACTGAAAATGAAGGATATCTATTTTCAGTATAATTTGGCTGAAAAAAATAATCTACTTATGATATGAGCAATTAAATATTTATCGAAAAATGCAAGTGAAAAATTCATAATTTAACCTGTAAAAGCAATATAAAATTTCATTCAAAAAGAAAAGTAACAATTAAAAACTAAGGAAATAAAGATGAATTTTGGTTACATCAAATTAAAATTGAAATACAAAAAACTTTTTCCTCTCATATTTCAATTTAGATTGACGTAATAAAAATAATAATAAAAGTAAATATATGAAGAAATAAAAATTATAAATTGCAATGATTTTAATGATAGAAACTGTATTTTCATTTTTATATATACTGTTTTTTGCAAAAATACATTATTCTCCGAATCTTAGAAAGAGTAGAACTCATTGTGCTTCATTACAATATCACAATCCTATATCTTTAGTTTAACTTGATTGATCATCTGTCTTTACCTGATCTATTTATTTTTATTGCAAAATTTTCATATTAAAAGAAATTTAAAATTTTAAAACAGATAGCTGATAAACATAAAATGGACATGTCAATAACAAATACAAAGTTAGGCAAAAATCAGCCTTAAATTAATGTAAACATTATTAAAAAATAAAAAGAAGAAATTGAAACCTTCACCTTCAGTGAACCTATATGTCAAATATTATTATACACAAGTATCTGTACAATAAACTAGAATCATGTGTAAATATAGTATTTGATATGATTAAAACTGAAAAGAGTGTTGATTTCAGTATTAATTATCAATTGATTTATTTTCAGTATAATAGGGACTTTAATAATTTTATAATGACAGCAAATAAGTATTTGAGTAAGCAAAAGTACTTTGGATCATAAATGGATGTTATATTGAACTAAGTTGTACCTTACTTTCAAGAATAAAATTTGCTGATGTAAATAAATAAATAAATAAAAATTTGAAAGGTTTCACATTTTAATAGTTGCCCAAAAGGGTTTGTTAAGATTTTTTACACTCTGGTTGAGCTCACAGTCTACCAGTCTGCTGTTACAGTCACTCCTACTAAACTTCCTGCACTTACCCTATATACGATTCAGCAGCAAAATTTTAAAAATTTTAAAAGCAGCATAGGAGTATATATTTGGAATTCCTGATGCAGTACTAAGCGTTGGCATACATTTTCTGGGGTTTTTTTTTCCGCCAGTCTTTTCTCGGCTAATCATATCATTATTCGGTTTCCTTACTAAGATCACTTCGCTAAAAATGTTTTATTCCGTTTATAACTAAACTGCCACTTCTCACTTTGAAACCATTGAATTTGTTAATCAAAATGTCATTAAAGTTTCACAAAATAGGAAACAGATAATAGTATAAACCTGAATTTTAAAATTCAGGCTTTCGAGTGCCCAAGTTAGGGTGGAGGACTACATTATTCAAAATTTGATGGCTCTAGGTACCTTATTTTTTTTCCACAATGCAAGAAACATTCATACATTCTTTTGTAGATTCTTCGTTATTTGATTTTTTTAAATATAATACAGGGCAATAATATTTGGAGGCAATAATTTGAAAACTGATACAACACATTTAAGTGTTTCAACACAAAATGCCGTTTTGAGACTAATATCCTATTCGGAACCAAAAATGTCAAAACTTGGTTAATAAATAAATATGAAACTCAATCTAGATGACATTTTATGCTAGTGTTGAAACAGTATTAAGTTCTACACATATGCAATTAATATTTGTTTTTAATAGCCATATTAAAAAGAAATTATTAATTATAGTTCCTAACTAAATTATTTATATGATTTGCAGTATCAAAACCAAAAAATTCTAATTCTTACAACAGAATTTTTAAATTTAATTTTATATGGGGGAAAAACTTTGTAGGAGTTTGTCCCCCATATAAAATTGAAAACTGTTTTCTTTTACTCTTAAAGGAGAGGAACCTCATAACCTATCTCTCTCTGTATCAATAGTTTCTTTGAAAATTGGGTACTTTCTTAGCTTTATGGCCATTTTTTTAAATGGCACTAAGATTATCAATAAATTCCATGAAAACTGGGTACTTCCTAAGCTTTATGGCCATTTTTTAAATGGCTCTATCAATAAATTCCAATGGAAACCACTTTCAAATGGCTAGCAGGCCTGACAACAGCAATTTTTAGTTTGCTCATGACAAAAAGAGCTCTATATAAACCATGTGTCATTTGTATTTTCTTTCTTCATATAAATGTTAACAAGATACTGTTAATTTATAATCAATTATAATTCTCTTATCACAAGAAGAGAATATTCCATGTGTTAATGTATATATATCCGTTTTTCAGAAAATGTTTTTAAATATTTGATTTAAAGAGAAGTGAGAAAGATGCTATATTTTTCTTCCAAAAAGACACATTTTACCTTGCATTTTAATATGAAAAAAAAATGATTATTAAATAAAACTACATATCAAAGAATGTATTTGAAGATGCAATGTGAAAAGGTGCAAGTGAAGAAAAAGCACACATTTTGACTACTGGTTAAGAAGTTTCAGAATGCTGTTTGTAACAGTGCATTAATTTATTTACTATTAGACAGAGGAATTGATGTTGATTAAATGGTGAAAGAAGCAATTCAGCCTTTACAAAAATAAAACTAATGGAACAGCTTTATTCCTTCTCGTATAAATATGGAATACAGAGGCAATCAAACTCATGCCAAAAATCATCAAGTATGTACAAAAGAGATCAATGATTTATACAGTCAGTTGTAGAGTACATAAAAGAGAGGAACTGGAAAGTGTTTGTTAGACACATTTCATTAGGAACCATAAATTTCATTTTGCTCATCCATCAATGGATACTCATACTCAAAATGTTGAAAGATTGTGGCTCTCCACAAAACGGTGAAAAAAAAATCAATGATGCTTAGTTCACACTCATCATGAGTAGAGTTCATGTGGCAAAAATATTTGGGATGAGAAAATGCTTCTGATGTTACGTTAAAAGCAATTGTGGAAACATAGCAGTTACAAACCATATGTGAAAAGCATGGTATGAAATGTATGAAGTATATTATAAGGTCTGAAAAGTAAACATCAGTTCTGTGAAAAAAAATAAACATGGAGTACGTGATATTCCTGCTACCAGCTTGGTGTTTAAAAATGCAGAGGGGGGCACAAGTAGCAGAAATTTGTCAGAGTAAGGTTGATTTTTGTCTAGTTTTATATAGGCAATAGATACTTAAAACTGAATGGAAAATTTAAGAAAGAAATAGGTAATACTCCATTTTTAAAGCAAAGGCATAATCTTTAATGCATTTTAAAAAATGTGAAAGGAAATTATTTGAAGAGAATGGTGAAGGATTCCAAATATATGTGTTTACATCTGATTAATGCTTTAAAAAGTGCTTTTTGAATGTCAGCTTGATTGGAATTACAACATGCTGAATTTTTTACAGACCCAGATTTAATACCTATTATCAAAATAACTTAATCTGTACTTTGACAAGAAAGTACAGATTAAATTATTTTGGTGACAGGTATTCAATCAGTCTGTGAAAAAGTGCCACTACATTTAGGCACTAATATTGGCAAGCTTAAATGTCCAATCTACAGCATGCAAATTTCAGACATCATCAAAGGTAACTTATGATTTTAAGTAACCTTTAGCATAGTTGTAATCTTCATGGAAAATATAGCAGTGATATAGTTCTATCATGTATAAAAACTATAATTATATTATTGTTATAGATTAAGCTAACATATAACAAAATATAAAATATGTTAACACATTTTATAACTTACACCAAGGAGGAAGCTTCATTTGTCATAATAATGACATGCAAAAAAATTTTATATTTCTATTTTGGATCAAAGTCATTTCCTTTTCAACTAATGGAAAAACAATAGAATTCATCATGATTCAATACTTTTCCATATCTTCTTCTGATTAACTTACTTTTATTCAAAAATTTTCATATTCATGATTTCAAGAATAAGCATTTTAGTTTCTGCATAAATTTTTTAAAAACTTATACACACAAAAACTGGGAGAATTTGATACAAAATGGACAAAATACAGAGAGTATAAATATACAGAAAAAGGGAAAAGTATATATGCAGAAAAAAGAAAATTTTACTAATGAGTTAAAAAAAAATGCTCGTAAAATGTTCAATTACTTAAAGCCACAATCTTGAAACACATATAAATTAAGTTTCTAGAGATAGCATGTACAGTAAAAGCCTGACTACCTGACATTTAACTAACTAGAAAGCTAAGTAACCGAAATGTTTTAGGAATTTAGAAAAAAAAAAAAAAAAAAAAAATCCCCCAAAATTAAGTAAATGAGAGATTTATAACACCATTATATAGGTCACTATATTATTAGCTCATACACATTGTAGCCAAACAGTATGACAACAGCACCAAAAATGGATAAGCATGATGTCACAACCCCATCATTAAAGAATTTTGCCTTGGTTTTATATAAATCCAGCTATTTCTTGATAAGCTGGTTTAAATTTTGTAAAGAAAGATACAAGATCTGTTTTTTTTTCATCACATTTTGAAAAAATGATAATATCTGGAATCTGCCTTTCATGGGACAGCATACATAGAATATTTTCTAAGTTACGATCCTGGCAACAAAAAAGATATGGTGTGAGATTTTATTTGAAAACAGCAATGCAAACAATGGATAAAATTGTGATAAGTGTTTTAACCCTTTGAAGGGCACCGGTATGTAATATATACCGGTTGTTTGTAAATTTTTTAACCTCGGAAAAAATTATAAATTCTCTATACCAAAAGCTATACTCGTAAGTTTCTAGTGTTTTCTTTCGATTCTAAATGGCAGCACCACTCTATGAATGCTCAATATTTTGCAGTTATGAAATTAATATACCTCGTTCCAAGGTGTCATGTTTGAAGATTGATAAATTCTCTTGGAGGGAAAGAAAAAATTCAAAATCTGTAAATGTATGACGTACACATGTTGAATCTTTTATATTTACTGCATTTCAATCAAAACTGATAATTAAAAGATTATGTGTACGTTTTTAATACCGGTATATAATATACCGGTGCCCCTACTGAGGGTACCTTGCCAATAGATGGCAGCACCAGGCTTCTCCTTCTCTACTGTGAGAGATGACAGCATTTCTTTACATTATAATAGTTTATGATGTAACAATTTGTTTATGATTAATTTACAAGTTGTTTAGGATTCTGTATTATGTTCATGAAGGGATGGGAAGTTTACTGCCCCTGCACTAGCACTGAATGCAAGTATATTTGTTTCTTTTTATTCTTTTTTTTACTCTGCGTGAGTTTCATACGTCTCCATTTAGCTAAAATTTTTACTTCAGCACTTCACCCTTTCCCGAGAGAAAGACTCATCGATTTCGAAATTGCCATCTGGGGTCAAAATTTTACACAATTGTAGAAATGGGGCATGTTAGTCCCCAAAAGACACCCTTTGCTTCCTGTTTTCCAAAATCCCAGAATCTAATGAAAATGAAAGGAGGTGATTGACAACTGATTTGTCATTGGGGAGTCAAGCCTTCTTTCCTTTGTGTGGTGTGATAAGATCACACAAAGAGAAAGCTCACTTAAAAATACAGGAAATGGAAGTGCACTGAAGGTCCATCTCTTAGTGTAATCACAAAAACTGCTGATTTGAAAGCATGCTTTTATTCTTATCGTCTTTGTTAATTTCAGATGAAAAACTAGGGAATGCAAGAGAAATTTAGGGTTAGATTGTTTATGAAATAAATTTCATGGTTTGTGAAATGAGCAAAAATATTTCTAAGGCCCGTTTTAGATGCAAACTAGAATTTATCCAAAAGTTGAAAAGGAACCCCTAAGAGGCCAAAGGGTTGAAAATTGAAATAAGGGCTTTCAGGTGTATAAAATAACAAAGTTGTTTAATGGAGTTTCTGCCTAAGTAAAAAGATATATTACAACCTATATTTACAAAAAATAAAAGGGCTCTTATGGCCCTCGATAATCTAAAGTGTGTGTGCGGGGGGGGGGGGGCGATTCTTCGTATTATAGCATGAAACATGATTTTTTTAAATATTATATAAAGCATAAAATATGACTTCAAAAATGCAACATACTTTCTCATCTGAGTCCTAGTATTTCATTTTTAAAATTTTTTTGGCTGTTATATCTCCTTGTAATATTATACTAGTTCAGTTACAGCATGATATGATTTACACATGCAGTCTCGTATTTACTATTTTTTTTTATAAAATAATAATATTGAATTTAAATCGAGTTCAAAAGCTTTTTACCCATATTTTATATAAGTATGTTCAGCCAGGTTGCATCATCAAAGAGCATAAAAACATAAATTTTATTTTTAAAACTTTAAATTTCTACCGAAATTTTAAAAGTTTTTGTCTTCAGACTTGCATAACTATATTCAAGCACCCATCTCTACAGACGCACATCAAAAGTATGCAAAATTAATTTGAAAATCAAAAATTAACAATTGGCACCTACCTGGAAAAAAAAATGTGTTAGAGGGGTGCCGGTATAAAATAGTATATACCGGCTCTCAAAATTTAAAATTTAGGATTTTGCTCTAGATTCTTTTTAAGTCTCAATTTTGTGTCTTTAGGGTCCATAAGTTATAGTTCATACAAAATTTTACCACAATTTAAATTATTTTATATATTGCCTCTCAAAGGGTTAAGTTTTTATATGCTATATCCATAATATGTATGTGTTTATGCAAAGAATGAATTCTTTACATTAAACTTCTGCCAGAACGACTGGCACAAGTTTGCCAACTTTCATATTTAGCAAGATTTCATAATCAGATAAGATAATCTTTAACCCTCTGACTGCTGAATTTGTGGACCAAAATTGCTTCCAAAACTGCATAATTTTTTTTTCCATATTTTAAAATTCTATATATAGGAGAATTGAAAAATGCACTTTTTCTTTCTAGAAAATATTTTTATATAGATTTTTATCATGAGAAAACTAAGTTGCCAGAAAAACCAATTTCAGATGTTATCACACACAAAAAAAAAAAAATCATTTTTTAAATAAATTTCAGTTAATTTATATTTATTGCATAATATAAAAAAGTAAAATGTATAAAATTTTAGAAAAGCGCTGAGGGAAAAATACCTTATAAATGCAATTTAGTATGATAGAGTTCAAACTTTACAGGCTTTGCACCAGAGTCAATAAATATAATCAATAATCAATCTAACTATTAATATAATCAATAATTTAACTAAATAATCAAGATAATCGCTGAACATTTTCTAGCAGCCCTTTCTGTAAGAAAAAAGCGGCAAAAAGTGAAGTTTGAGCGCTAAAACCACGTGCCTTCAAATGCCGCAATTTAGTGGTCAACTAACGATATCTGTTAGTAATCAAAACGAAATTAAACACCTAATACCGTATATAATTTATTTCAGTGGTTAAACGGGTAAAAAGCGGGATGCGCTTTTCAATAAAGGAAGAAAAACATATGCCTGCGGAAATCGTGGGATGAGCAAATTTTGCTACATTTAAGTTACCCGTGGAAATCGTGGGATGAGCAAATTTTGCTACATTTGAGTTGCCCGTGGAAATTGCGGGATGATCAGCCAGAGGGTTAAGATCTACAAAACGCGTTGGCTTTTATGTATGAAATGTAATTTTCCTGTGAAATTTTATATAATTTTAAATGTAGGCTTTTGATATTCAAGTTGGTAATAAATAAGATGACTGTTTTTACAATTTTAGAGAAGAAATTTCTTCCATTCCTTTGGCTTTCCTACCATGAATTCTAATTTCTATAAGCTCAGCTATCTGGAATTTTTATATATATGAAATCTAGCATTTTGCAAACTATCTGAGTAGTCGAGCTTATCCAGTAATAAAAAAAGTAATGGTGAATGAAGTATAATGAATACAGATGGCTTTTGTATGATGACATGTAGAGCTAATTAGATAAATTATATTACTCAGATACAAGTCTGAATACATAAAATTTTAATGTTTATACGTGATTGCAACCATTAGAAACTGAAAGAGAAACATCATTGAAAAAAAATTGCCATTCCAGATACATTTTCGACCTGTATGGAAAAAAATAAACAAATAAAGCATAACCTACTAGTTGACCTTAAAAGAACTATCACCCGCATCACAGTAAGTTAGGAGTAACAACTCATTTATTTAAGCCTTAAAGATGATTGTTTTTTCATATTCATATAGCAAGTTCCCTTCAATAACTTATACCAAAACTGAATATGGAATTCACACAATTCATATTCAGTTTTGGTATACTGGTATTCACTGTAATACCAGTCTGTATTTTTCAGAAAATCTTAAAAGTTTATAAAATAACAAGGGGAATTATTTAATAAAATATTTTATCCTTTCTCAAAATATATATCTGTAGTTTGACGGTTTACTTATCAATCAGCATAATAAAAACATGTTTCACACTTTGGGAAAAATTTTGATGTGATATACACATTCAAATATCACTTTTAAAATTAGTACCAAAATTATTTCTAAAAACACTCAGTGCCATTTAAAGACATCAAGTAATATTTTAAAAAATATAGACTGGTATTACTATTCTCCATTTTTTTATATATATACAAATTAGTAAAATTTTATATTTTAAATTTTAAGGCTTTACTTACTTTTAATGACATGTTCATATTTAGACCTTCACATAGGACAGCAAATTTTTCAGGAAAAATTCCAACTCCATTCCACTCTAAATATAAACTGATAACTTTATTTTACTTGAGATGCTCTTATAAAAACATGAATATTAATTAGACACTTATGCTGAATACAGCAGTAAATAAATAAGAACTATGTATAGAATATTTTGTTAATACATCAATTAATAATATTTCATAAAATTACACATAATTCTGATACAATAAAACAATTTAATCATAACAATATCTCTGATATATATATCATATAAATATTTCTGAAATATAAAATGAAAGCTCAAATAAAATATGAAGAGAGAAAAAAACACCCCAAAATAAAAATAAAATTTATGCAAAAATAACGGCTTTGTATTTGGGATAGATTTTCATTGAAAGTCGACGAATTTTAAGGGCAAACTGGTAAATATGGTCATTGCTCCTCTCTTTCTTGCAGATTTTTTTTGCTTCTTATGAAGAGAGACATGTAACTGTTTGCCCTTGAAATTGATAGAGTTTCAATTAAAATCTACACCAGACACAAGATTGTAGTTTAGCCCAGTTTTAAATCCAAATATATTTTGCAACTAAAAGAAATTTTTCATCAACTACAGTGCAGGGAAATTATGCTAAATGATAAAAATATGCATCAGCTTTATTTACATACTGTAAAATTTTCATTCCATTTTATAAGCAGAAATTTACCCACAGGAAGGAAAGGAAAATTATGCACATTAAAATATAACTTCTGTTATATCTGTTATGTGACATAATTTATAAAACTTACACAGAATGTGGAATGGAAAAGAAACATATCAGTAAAATATATAAAATGAAACAATAAAAACATCACATTGTTCCTTATGAATATAAAGTAATTAATGAAAAAAAGAATGCTTTGGGATCTAATGTTTGAAATTTCTACTTGTAGGAAGGTGAGATTTGATTTCAAATTTAAATTAGTGAAATATTTTATGTTAAGTTTTGAGAAAAATGAAAGATTCCAGAAAAGGCTTGGAAAGCTAACATAATGTATTACACTCACATATGTAATAATGTCAAACATACCTGTCATTTCCCCTTTCTAGAGACAAATAAAAGTAACTTATTCCATCATACATTAAAAAAAGGGACAACAAGTTTACAAAATCTTCTAAACTGCAAATGAATCTCACAATATGCTACATTTTACTCTCATTCCTGTCTTTGACAGTTACAGCGAAATCAGTGTCATGCCTTTGAAACACCAATCCACCATTGAGAGAACCACAGCTGCAACCATTATAACTTGTGGAATAGCCATCATGATATCCAGGATGAGACCACATAGGATAAGCCACAAGCTTGATACATAGCTTTGGCTTCTACTGCACATTGAATAACACTGCAGTTCCCAATCTGAAATGCAAAAGCAGGCTGCAGGCTTTTCAGCCCTGCAAAGCCACAAAAGAGAATGCAAATTTCTCAATAATTATATTATTATATTTTTAGCTAAAAAGGGATTTTTAGTCTTGAAATTGGATTTTACACTGGTTCATTATAAACACTTTTTAAATTGTTGTCGCCAAATATTATTGTCCTGTATTATTTTTTAAAAGATTAAATAATGAAGAATCTGCATGTATATATGAATATTCCTTGCAACTGTGAAACAATGATAGTACCTAGAGTCATCCAGATTTGAATAACATAGTTCTCCATCCAAATATGCACACTTTGAAGCCTTCAATTTTTGAATAACATGAAAAAACCATGGTACCTAAAGCCTCTAACTTTGAAAAACATAGTCCTCCACTTGAACATGTGCACCTGGAAGCTCTAATTTTGAATGTTTTTTATTATTTATTTCATATTTTGTGAAACTTTAATGAATTTTTTATTAATAAACTCAACTTGAAAACAAGCAGTGGCAAAACTTTTCGAAATAGAACATTTTTATTTACAATTTGTGAGACTGTTGCCATTTGGAAAAAGTAAGATATTTAATTATTCTTAAAACTTCTGCAAATTCTAATTAAAAAAACTTGGCTCTATGAAAGCAATGTGTTGCTGCAACCAGAAATAAAATACTTTTATCTTCAGTGTGTAGCCAGTCGGTAAAGCCTAAGATACTTTTGAAATTAATTTTGTAGGTTATTGAGTAATAAAGTGAGCGATTTAAAAGCAGTAAACACAGTTTAATGTATAACGGATGGTATAAGCTAAAATTATCTAATTACAGTCAAAAGTCGTTAATCCGGACTCGTCGGGACTTCGGCGATTCCGGATTATCGATTTTTCCGGATTATAGATCATCAGTTTCAATCTCGTAAGATGGCATGCAGAAATTCTAAAATTAAAAATATGAAACCGTAATTTATGAAATAAAGAACAATTATGATCTAAAGGGTATCAAAAATTTACAAAAAAAAAAAAAAAAAAAAAAAAAAAAAAAAAAGCTTAATATTTATTTGTTTACTTTATTAAACATTTCTTTCAATGTAAGTTGTTTAAGTTGCTTCGTTTTATGTGATAATATTTTCTCTTTAATTCTATAAACAGACATAATTTCTTGTTCAATTACAAAGTTCCGCTATTCAAGTCCCGTTAATTGCTGTGCCGAGAATACCGACTAACTTGTCAATCGAAATTTTTTCGTTTTCACTAACCTCTGTGTCACATTCTTCATGTCTTTATCCATTTTTTGCAGCAATTCCACTTTTTGTTTGTTGGACATAGAAACATACTTTCGTTTTGTAGATCCTTTGGAAGTTCCAGCATCAGAAATTCTATTTGACATAATCGAAAGTTCAAGTTTACTTTTATAAAATTGCTCTTAGAGTCTGCAAAAAATAATAAGCGGGATCCAATTCGAAGATTAAGGAACAACGCAATCATGAACATTAACTGAAATACATAATTTTAGCTTAGACCGTCCGTTATACATTAAACGCGCAGGCGAAAACGTATTCTGCACTTGTGCACACGCATATGCACAGTAGTCAAGGTCTTACGCGCATGCGTAAAACGCCCGTGCGCATGTGCCAATGCGGTGCATGCGCAGAAAGTTTTTAACTTTGAGGTCCGGATTATAGATCATTCCGGATTATGGGTGTCCGAATTAACAACTTTTGACTGTATCTATTTCAGTTAATGTTGCAGATTGCGTTGTTCCTTAATCTTTGAATTGGATCCGGCTTATTATTTTTTGCAGACTGTTAGAGCAATTTTATAAAAGTAAGCTTGAACTTTCGATTATGTCAAATAGAATTTCTGATGCTGGAGCTCCCAAAGGATTTACAAAGCGAAAGCATGTTTCGATGTCCATCAAACAAAAAGTGGAATTGCTGCAAAAAATGGATAAAGGCATATCCTTTGTTTCTCTAACCATTCTGAAATCTGTTTATCAATTTCACGCTGCTCTGTGGCGGGGGGGGGGGGTGACGCCGCGGCATGCAATGAATTGGAAGTTGATCTGTCAGCACTATCCTTATCTTCAGGGCAGATGTTTTTATTTTATTTGGCTTACAATTCCTTATTAAATGTAATATTTCATCTCGATGTACTCCGTCTTTGATATGATTTAATCAAATTCCTCCTCATTATAATTCGCTTCTGATAGTGAAGAAAGTGACACAGAGGTTATTGAAAACGAAAAAATTTCGACTGACAAATTAGTTGGTATTCTCGACCAAGCAATTATAGGACTTGAACAGCGGAACTTTCTAAATGAACAAGAAATTATGTCTGTTTATACAATTAAAGAGAAAGTATTATCACATAAAACGAAGCAACTTAAACAACTTACATTGAAAGAAATGTTTAATAAAGTAAACAAATAAATATTAAGCCTTTTTTTTTTTTTTTTTTTTTTTTTTTTTTTTTTTTTTTTTTGTAAATTTTGATACTTTTTAGATCATAATTGTTCTTTATTTCATAAATTACGTTTTCATATTTTTAATTTTATAATTTCTGCATGCCATCTTACCAGATTTAAACTGATGATCTATAATCCGGAATCGCCGAAGTCATGACGAGTCTGGATTAACGACTTTTGACTGTAATTGTTTTCTTTTGATTCTTATTTGAAATTATACTCAAATGTGCCTTGACTGGTTTAAAACCCAATCATATACCTTTATTTTGAATTATTTGACTGTGATTTATGCAGAAAATTCTCATCATTTTTTTTCAGCATAAATTTTATATTCCTGGTTTCTATTTTTTTTTTTTTTTTTTTTTTGTCAGTCACGTTAGCATGTTCCATCAGAGTTTTTTGTTTCATTTACTCTTAGGAGTATTTTAATAGTAACTATTACTACATATTTAGTCATTCTTCTTTCAGCACTTATTCTTGTATTTTTGCCTTTTTAAACTTACACTTTAATTATTTAGCTTTCATTTAAGATATTACTTCCTTGAAGCCATCCAAATTCATCAAATTCCCATTTTATTAAGAAGAAAGGTGACATTAACTATGTCTTAAGCGATGATCTGAATTCTAATAACAGATCTATTGTTAAACAGTTAGATTTCTTATTATTTGTATTTCTCTTCAAGAGATAATGTTAAAATAAGATCATACTAGTCATCCTTGGACTAAATTTTACATTGTTGACAATTCTACAGATAAAGAAGAGGTCTTCGAACTTACATAAATCAATTTGTTTACTTTGCTATACAAATTAGAACTGACACTCAACTTTTATAAAATATTCATTTAATGATTTGTTTGAAATAATAAATATACACTATATATTAAAAAGAAGAAAAAGATTTTACTTGCTTGGAAAATTATTTCTTGCAACATACATACACACACCTCAAAATAAAAGAATCATACATCATTTGTAAAAAAAGATGAAAATTTATACAGATATTCCAGGGTAAGTTCCTTTCATAAAATGCATCATAGCAATAATCAGGTTCATGCCCATGCATTCTAGTTGTGCAAGAATTATGGAATGAACTCTTGTAGTACTTTGCTATCGAAGCTTTTGTAATATATGAGCAAGAAGGGCATATGCACAGAAAAATATAATCTATATTTTGTACAATAAATAATAGCTTAAGATATTTATTTAATGCCTTTATGGATAAACTTATGAGCCAAATTAACTAAATACTATAACATGTTATTAATGATGATAAATTCATCACCAAATACTAAAGAATAATTACAACAGATGTGAACTCGCTTCTATCAGTTGACACAATTACATCACAACACCTTTTGGCCTCAGTTTTACATAAAAATTTATGCATGCCCATCAACACAGTAATGTTTGTCTACATCCTTAAAATTCATAGATTTGTCACTTTCCCTCTGAACATGGTGATACCCCTATGTCTCACTACACATGTGACAGCTGCAAAAACACAAGGAATTTACAACAACCTTATACCATGCTCAAAACAATTAGAGAGAGAGAGTAGTGTAAAAATATGAAAATGTAAAAAATAGATCCTCAGCTTGTTTTTAGATCTTGATTTTAGATTTTTGATTTGACAATTTAAGCATCAGATTAGTAAACATTTGTTCCCGGATTCCTCTCTACCATGTGAAGTTAGTATTTTAGCCCACCATAATATTCTTCTCAACAAATGGCAAAATGCATTTATCACCAACTGTGCATGCAAAATTCCATGCAGAAAATACAGAAAAATATGTATTCTACTTTAAATTATTATAAAAATAAGCTTTCTTAAGAATGAAATAAAATTTTTATCTTTTTACATACATATTTAAAAAAACTCTTATCTTCTCTACATATTCATACTTTATAATAGATATAAAATATTGCACTTATTTAAAAAGAACTGACAACAGAAACTTTAAAAAGAACTGGCGAAAATTGAATTATGCACATTAACAGCATATACAAAAAGGCTAATTTTTGAAAATATAATTACATCATTACACAATAAAATTTTAAATTTCATTACATAAAAAAAATTAAACACTGTACAACAAATGAGTTCATTAGAAGCAGAAATGAAATAGCAGACTCACTTCTGTAAATAGTTATTGTGGCGAAGAAGTTTTCCAATTTCCTGTACTCCAGAATGCCTAATATTATTACCCTACAAAAGAAAAATGATGGTTAATCTGTTTATTTCAAATACACATACACAAATTTAATAAAAAATATAATAATTACTTACTTTCAAATTCAAGCTGAATAGAAATGTATTATTTTCAAGCCCCATTAAAATGGATATCAAACCTAAATAAAAAATATTTATTAAATTTCTAGACAATATGTAACAAAAGTTTGATTGAGAAATAATGCTGATTTTTTTATAGAAATAAATTTCACAAAAGAGAATACATGCCATTAACATGTTTGAAAATAAATATGTAATTAAATTTATAAATGTAGTAGCAAAGTATATAATTTAACATTGTGCTCCAAAAATATTTCTGATGATAAAGTTACTAATTATGTGCACACTGTAATAAGCTTTTTCAAGTCAATTTTCTTTTCTTCTTTATTTAAAGAAAAGTGTTACACAAGGAATAAAAAATGTATATCAATTGGAACAGAAGGAGTATTTTACAAGGAATGTTGTGTGCAATGAAGGAAAGAATACTGAAGCTCATAAGTACGACACCCAAGCAGACTAAATGACTAACCACTGATCACTGCTAAGGATACATAAATATTTCCTAATGCTTTGCTAATTATTCAAAGGAAGTTAGTTAATATAAAATGGTGTTTGTCACAAACACAGGAAAATGGTTTTTATTGTTGAATATTATTTTCATTCATGTAAAGTTGGATTCTCAAAAAGGTTAAGTTTGTTACTGGTTGCAAAATAGCCTCAGGAGCAGATCTAAGCACTAAGATCTATAATCTATTACTTCAGAATAGGCATTTTAAAACACCCCCTCCTAGCTTGCATTAGAACCAGAGCAATGGTTGCTGCAGAAGCAAAGCTGAATCTTCTAATTTGTTAAAATCTAGTCGTCTAATTTTCTCTGTCTGGTGATGATGATACACATTATGATCACAAATGATGGGAGGGTCGCTATGTCTTTAAAACGCGTATTTTAAAATATGATATTATAATAAAGTTCATGGTCAATAGTTAATTTAAATGACACAGAAAATATTACTACTATATGGCAAAAAGACTGCATCAGGCAAAGAGTTGCTGTGACTTAAAGATACAGCAAAAACATCGATTTTTGTCATGCTCAGTATGTAACAAATTATAAAGTACTACAGTCAAAAATCATTAATTCGGACACCCATAATCCGGAATGATCTATAATCCGGACCTCAAAGCTACAAACTTTCTGCCCATGCGTCGCATTGACGCATGCACGTAAGACCTTTACAGCTGCGCATAATGCGTTTACGCATGCGCATTTAATGTATAACGGACGGTATAAGCTAAGCTAAAATTATCTAATTCAGTTAATTTTGCAGATTGCGTTGTTCCTTAATCTTCAAATTGTATCCGGCTTATTATTTTATGCAGACTGTTCGAGCAATTTTATAAAAGTAAGCTTTAACTTTCGATTATGTCAAATAGAATTTACGATATATATTTACTAATATGTAAAGGATTTACAAAGCAAAAGTATGTTTCGAAGTCCATTAGACAAAAAGTGGAATTGCTGCAAAAAAATGGATAAAGGTATGAAGAAAGTGACAGAGAGGTGATTTGTTTCTCTAACCATTCTGAAATCTATTTATCAATTTCATGCCGCTATGCGGCGGGGGGGGGGACGCCGCGGCATGGCATGAATTGGAAGTTGATCTGTCAGCACTATCCTTATCTTCAGGGCAGATGTTTTTATTTTATTTGGCTTACAATTCCTTACTAAATGTAGTATTTCATCTTGATGTACTCCGTCTTTGATATGATTTAATTCAAATTCGCTTCCAATAAAAGTGAAGAAAGTTACACAGAGGTTATTGAAAATGAAAAAATTTTGATTGACAAATTAGTCAGTATTCTCAAAACAGCAATTATAGGACTTGAACAGTGGAACTTTGTAACTGAACAAGAAATTATGTCTGTTTATAGAATTAAAGAGAAAGTATTATCACATAAAACGAAGCAACTTAAACAACTTACATTGAAAGAAATGTTTAATAAAGTAAACAAATAAATATTAAACTTTCTTTTGTAAATTTTGATACCCTTTAGATCATAATTGTTCTTTATTTCATAAATTACGGTTTCATATTTTTAATTTTATAATTTCTGCATGCCATCTTACCAGATTTAAACTGATGATCCATAATCCGTAAAAATCGATAATCCGGAATCGCCGAAGTCCCGACGAGTCTGGATTAACGACTTTTGACTGTACTTGATTTTCACAACTCACATTATCAAAACAGTGCCAAGATTATCGGCAACTTAAATGACTCACATATAGTTTGTGGCTGGTATATTTCTATGATTGATTTTAATACGACATCAAAAGGCTTATTTTTACCAAAGAAATTTTGCCACATCACTTTATAAAGATCTGACTTTAGATGATGTTGAGATGCAATGTTTGCCTTTTGTTTTGCCCTTTATCAGAACTCCACAATCTTTCTGCATTTGGGTGTGAGGACCCATGGTAGAATTAACAAAATTAAATGTGTGAGTCACAGTTAAATGGCTGTAATTAGACTTTCCAAGCTCATCTCTTTTATGGACTCGTAATCTGAATACATTGTCGACCCTTCCACTACATGATCTAAAGTTATTGATATCAGTATGCTTGCTTTCCGATTTGGAACCTGAACAAGAAAGCACTTGCCGCTCCAGCATATCCCTGATTTCTGCAACACAGTTTCATGATTAGCACATGTTCTGTCAAACTAATACTCATCATTTTTGGAAGAATACTACTCGCTCAATCTCAAAAATATTAACCCTCTGAGGTCTATGACAGCCTTTATCCGGTCATGAGATTTTTTTGTCACTTTATATATATATTAGCTTATAATTTATGATATTTTGCTTTCTTACTTTCTTTAATAATATAAATATCATCTTAATAAATCAAAGTTTATGAAAATAGAGATTAATGTAATCCAAAAATCCAAGCCACTCAGAGGGTTAAAATAGTCCACAGTTACTTATTTTATTGCATCTGTTATTTATTGCCTTCGTGGAAATTTTTTTGGGGGATCTTTCAGTACATCCTTTGAACTCTCTCTCTACAAATTCTTGAATAAATCTGCATTTCAGTTATAGCTGCAAAGTGCTCTGAATAGGCCAAGTACTGTTCTTGAAAAAGTATACTATAGTTCTATACTAGAAAAGTATTTATATTGGGGCTAGAAATGTATATTTGTATGCATGTCTGTGGGGATGTATGAGTTCATGTATGCATGCATTTATGTATGTTCCTGTGTATACACACATATACATGTATGTATATACACATATACATACATACATACAATTCTGAATCTGGTCCTGATAACAGAAGAATACCAAAGTGTTTAAAAGAAAAGAAAATAATAAACATTGATAAATTCCTGCACTTAAGCTGCAAAGGATTGAATTGGAAGTCTTTACTACAAAAAGACACTATTATTTTTTAAACAGATTATCCCATCTAAAGAAAAATGTGTAGAGCAAAAAAAAAAAAAAAGTGTCTTATTAACAGGAAGAGAAAACATTTTTAAGCCTACTATGTAAATAAAGCTTTAAAAAAGTTATTAAAGCTAGAAAAATGTAATAATTGCTGTATCTAATTAAATTTTAAAATGTTGAAAATAAAAAAAACGCTAGAAATACAATAAACTATTAATCACCCTAGATTTAATGCTTCAAACAAAACTTTTCAAGGGATTAGCATTTAAAACATTAATCTCGAAGATAAATTAGTGCCAAAGGACACTGACATTACATGACTCAAACTGTTGTAAATTAATTGTTCTTGTTTACAAATTTATATTTAGTCTTATAATGTCAAGAACTTCCTTTACAAGCCGGTCACTACTCCATGAATTACAAGCACATGAAATAATAATTAAATTTAAAAACAACTTAAATTAAACTGTAAAAAATACAAAAGCTAAGAGCATACTAAAAGAAAAAACATGAAAATCTGTACACAAATACATTCGAATACATTACTCATTTAAATTATGAAATCGTTCAAACTAATCAAAAGTACAATTGAAAACAGCTAATGTTCCATGGCTAATCATTTTTAGTTATGCAAGATATATACATACATATGTATGTACTGATGTAACAAAAAATCCTTTCTGAATATATTCTAAACCTATTTTATAATCCATTTTGGAAGTCCTTTATTCTCTCTGCACATACAGACGTCATGCAAAAAAATTGTCCAAATGGGTTCGGGAACAACTGAAATTCAGATTTTCTGTTAAAATATGATATTTGAAATTTTTGTAATTAGAATGCTACCTTTACCTCATACAAGTAAGTAAAAAAAAAGGGGGGGAACTAAAAATTTAAATCTAAAAAATTTCACTTGAAGACTCAAGTAATGCAAAATTCACTTGATTTAGTTTAAGTGAATTTTCAGAAACAATTTCCCATGGACTTCCCATATCATTCTTATTCATTGGGTTTAACATACCACATGCTTATATCTCACATGTGGTAAAAGAAGTCACTTTTTTGAAACAATAATTAAGTATTTATGGATTAATGGGAAAAGCAGCAACCTCTCTTTAGAGGCATATTATGTTAACATTACAAGACTACACACACTGGCTAATGAATTAGAAACCTTTGAGATTTTCATTTGAATAAACATATGTTAGTGATGAAGCATGCAAATTGTTTTTATGATGCGGATTATACTTTGTTAGAATGCTAGTATAAGTAAGGTGTAAGAATGCTTTTCATAATGAATGAAGTAAAATGGGAAAAACAACAGATTTTTCACCATTTGAAAATGGGCTTGGTGCCCATTTAGCAGGGGCCTTGATTTAGAAGACAGCAAATCTCACTGGGTTCTCAAAAGTAACCATATCAAAGGTTATAATCAGAACCGACAGTCCTTCTTTAGAAAACGTAACAGCGGTTTGAACAAAGTTTTCCAAGAGAGTGGTCGGTGTCATCTCTGACCAATTGTACTGCAAAACAAGAACTCTACTGTTCTTCAACTGACACAGATCATCAACCAAGGCTCTTCCTGACAGATTTCAGCTCGAACTATGCACATAGAATTGCAGAGGACAGGAATGCATAGTCGGTTACCTGTGCGAAAACCACTCATTTCTGC